CATACGATATAAAAGTATATGAAATCGCGAAATTGGCCATACGATATAAAAGTATCTAAAATTGCGCAATTGGCCATACGGTATAAAAGTATCTGAAATCGCGTAATTGGGCATACGATATAAAATTATCTGAATTTGCGCAATTAGCCATACGATATAAAATTATCTGAAAATGCGCAATTGGTCATACGATATAAAAGTATTTGAAATCGCACAATTGGCCATACTATATAACAGTAACTGAAATTGCACAATTTTTCATACGATATAAAAGTATTTGAAATCGCACAATTGACCATACTATATAACAGTATCTAAAATTGCACAATTTTTCATACGATATAAAAGTATCTGAAATTGCGCAATTTTTCATACGATATAAAAGGATTTGAAATCGCGCTATTGGTCATACGATATAAAAGTATATGAAATCGCGCAATTGACCATACGATATAAAAGTACCTGAAATCGCAAAATTAGCCATATGATATAAAAGTATCTAAAGTCGCGCAATTGGCCATACGATATAAAAGTATCTAAAATCGCGCAATTAGCCATACGATATAAAAGTATTTGAAGTCGCGCAATTGGTCATACGATCTGAAAGTATCTGAAATCGCGCAATTAGCCATACAATATGAAAGTATCTGAATCGCGCAATTGGTCATACGATATGAAAGTATCTGAAATCGCACAATTAGCCATACGATATAAAAATATCTGAAATTACGCAATTGGCCATACGTCATTGATTAACTGCACTATTTCAGGGTCCAGTGGCTTTTACCGAACACGGTGATAGAAGGGGAGTAATATCTGTTGAACAAAACCGAGGTACGTAATTCACCGATCTATGGGGAAGCATCAATAGAATAAATTGAACGATTGTGTGTGCAGACCATATACATTTACCAATGTAACATTATATACAGCGCAATTACAATGTGATTTTTGGATTACGTAAATGTACGTCACGTCTGCAACGGCAACACGGGATTGATTACCGTGCAGTTACACTTGAAGAGGTAATTGTTGAAATGTGGTGACACCTTTTTCATTTGTAAAGTGATTAAATATGTACATTCTTATGTATTATAACAGAATTATCGGATTATGCAATTGCTTTCAGGCTTCGTTGAAGTAGAAATCGGTAGATACTACGCTGACACAGAAGACATTGTTTGGAGTTTTACTTATGATGAAATCTGGCAAACCCATGGTTAGTATAATATTGAATGGAACACCATGTTTTAAACATCGAAAATAACAATAATTCCAGATCAGATTTAGGGGATTGATTGGTATACATATGATTATGATTCGCGTAACAAATTCACATTGCAGCACCCACGTGGACCTTGATTTATTTTTTGATTTACCGAAAATTCAAAAATCAGGCAACTGATATTGTACTAGTACAAAAAATATGTGGTGACGTCATTTAATACTATGTAATATATTGTTATATGTATTTTTGTTCAAAAAAACGCATGATACTATAAATGAATATTTCACATATAAAATGTGGCAAATTAAAACATTTGTTAACGATTGAGACAGTGTGTCGTCTGTCCGGGTTGCCAGTGTGTCTCAGCGTCAAGTACATATTCTACGGTCAATAAAGCCCTAACAGTTGCACTAGTCGGCTTTTGAAATATGCTTTATCGCCGGGAATAAACCACAAAACAGAAACTAATGCTTTATAATAAGAACAATTTAGTTAGAAATGTAGTGCTCGCCTGTAAATCTCACATATAATCGACTTTTTATCCAATATAGTGTTGTAGGTAGCTCATTATTGTTATAAATTTAATATTAAAACACATCGTATTACAGGTGGCAAGTCTCCGGCCGACAGCGATAGAACCATCTTCACAGTACATCTCATCACAGTGTCAAACTCTGCATCATATATGATGGTGTTTCTATCTGCATGTGGTGTTCTGATTGCGTTGGGTTTTCTTTTTTTTAATGTTATCCACAGAAATAAAAGGTAGGGGTGAAAACCATGAAACGCCGTAACTGTCTTCGTTAGCATATACGTATGACGACATATATATGGTAAAACCTTTGTTTTGGATGGTTACACAATATGTTCAATTGTGATACTTTTGTGCTGTATGGACCAATCCTTTTGTTGTATAGTCGCACCATTGCGTTCAGTAGTGAGACCATTGCGTCGTATGGCCGCACATTTGCGTTGTATGGTCCAAACATTGGGTTCAGTAGTGAGACTGTTGTGTTGTATGGTCCAACCATTGTGTTCAGTAGTGAGACTGTTGTGTTGTATGGTCCAACCAGTGTGTTCAGTAGTGAGACTGTTGTCTTGTATGGTCCAACCATTGTGTTCAG